TCTTCGTTGCGGTGTGCGGGCTTCTCATTGCAGTGGCTTCTCTTGTTGTGGAGCACGGGCTCCAGTAGTTGTGGCTCGCAGGCTTTAGAGCACAGGCTTAGTAGTTGTGGCACATGGGCTTAGTTGCTCCGCAGCATGTGGGATCTTCCCGGACAAGGGCTCAAACCCGTGTTGCCTGCATTGGCAGGCAGATTCTTAACTACTGTGCCACCAGGGAAGCCCCCAGGAATTTAATGATTTTTGACTTTGAGTTAGTGATTTAATATACACCATTATCAGGTCACTTAACAATGTGAAAGTTAACAAAAAACTGGCTCATCAGTGTTTAGGGTAAAACCACTGCTGCATTTGTCTCTTACTCCAAGATCTACTCTTTTTATTCCATTGCTCTATGGTCTAAGAAAAAAACATTCCCACCTCCAACATAAAAGTTAACAAGAAAACTGGACTTAAAATATTGCTTTTTTAGGGACTTCCCTGAGGCATCCGGGTAAGGGTGCTTCAGGAACTGAAAAAGTAATAGGCTAGGAGACTGGAGCTGGGGCAGAGAATAGAAACCCAGTTCAACAGAAGGAAAACATAAGAACAGAAAAGATTCTGCCTCCTCTTGGACAAAATATTCCACATAATCCAGGGACCAATAGACAGGAACTGGAAAGCCATGTTATAATGCACTTAGGTTATCAATTTTTCATCTGCATTGGCAGTAACTTTAATTGCTATAATTATAAACAACCTTTTATAAAAATTATTTTAGCAATAAATTTTGATTGTCAAGATTTAAATCCTAGTCGGAGACTTGCTTTTTAAAGATTATTCCATTGCAGACAAGCACCCATCTGTTTTACATTTCAGTACTACCTTTTTTAGCCTCACACTCATTTCACTAAGAACTTTCTGGGGGTGGTGATAGTAGTGATTATTATTATTTTGACAAACGTACAGTATACACTAGGACAGCTGTAATTTATTTCAATATCTCTTTGCAAATAAATTAATCAGCACAATTCCCTCAGTCTTCAAAGCAACTGTAAAGAAAGTACCATTTTTTTCTCCCACCTATTGCTGCATGCTTTTATTTGGTTACAATTTTCTCACTACCTATCTCTTTATCATCGGCAACCTGACTTCTGGTCTCACTATTTCACCAAACTTGCTCTCCTTAAAGCTTTCTTCAGATCCTTCTAGAACTCATCACTTCCTCTGACATTTATGACCACACTCTCATACCTGAATGGCACTGAAAGCTCATATTCCATGGCAACATTCGCTCATAGTCTAATGAGAGAAAAAGGCACCCACTAAAAACAAAGACCAGGAGTAGAAAATACATATGAATGAACTTAGTTTCAAGTGCTCAGAAGCAGAGCTGAGTCACAGCAGGTACTCAGTTGAGAAGAATTTTTATTTTAAACTGAAAAGCCTTAGAAGTTATTTAAGCCAATGCCCTCATTTTATAGCTGAAGTACGGAAAGTTTGTCAGTTAGGATGACTTTGGTTGCAAGTAGTAGACAAGAGCAAGTCAATCTGACTTAATAAGGAAACATACTCTCCTACATAATACGAGGTCCAGACACCTCACTGTAACCCACTGCTGCTCTTGCCCATAGCACCCTTGGCCACACCACCTTCAGTGTGTTACCTTCAACTTCTGGTTGCGAGCAACAAGGTCTGTCGCAGTTTCAGGATATACATCAGAGGAGCTGGGGGAGAAGTGTAAGAGGAAAGGGAAAGTGTGTCTCTTCCTTGAATCTCTTCTCAAAAGCAAAGAAACTTGACCAAGAAACCCTAAGAAGACTTTTCTTTTGCCTCCCCATTTCTAAAGCAACCACTGGCAAGGAAAATGGGATTCCAAGACTGGTTTGGTTTAAGCCTTGGACTAAGCTTGGGGTAGAAAGAATGCTGAGGCATCAAGGTTAAATAAATTGGCCATAATCAAAATATTACTTGTAGGACTTCCCTGGTGGCACAGTGGTTAAGAATCCGCCTGTCAGTGCAGGAGACACGGGTTCGAGCCCTGGTCCGGGAAGATCTCACATGCCATGGAGCAACTAAGCCCATGTGCCACAACTGCTGAGCCTGTGCTCTAGAGCCCAGAAGCTACAACTACTGAGCCCGTGTGCCACAACTACTGAAGCCCGTGCACCTAGAGCCCATGCTCCGCAACAAGAGAAGCCACCACAATGAGAAGCCCGCGCACCGCAAGGAAGAGTAGCCCCCGCTCACCACAACTAGAGAAAGCCCGCGCGCAGCAACTAAGACCCAACACAGGGCTTCCCTGGTGGCGCAGTGGTTGAGAGTCCGCCTGCCGATGCAGGGGACACGGGTTCGTGCCCCGGTCTGGGAAGATCCCACATGCCGCAGAGCGGCTGGGCCCGTGAGCCATGGCCACTAAGCCTGCGCGTCCGGAGCCTGTGCTCCGCAATGGGGGAGGCCACAACGGTGAGAGGTCTGCGTACCGCAAAAAAAAAAAAAAAAAAGATGGATTCAACTCCCACCTTCTCTGGGGAGCTCACATGTTCCTTTTGTAACTATCTTAGGCTTCTGTGGAGGTGGCATAGGGTAACAGTAAGCACTGACTTTACAGCCAAACTGCCGGGGTTCAAATATAGGCCCCCATCACTTGTGTGTGTCATGTTACTTAACCTCATTCCTCATCTATAAAAGGGGAGGATAGTAGAACTCACCTCATAGAGATGTTGTGAGCATTAAATAAGTTACTATACATAAAGTGCTCAGAACCATGCCTGTTACACAGTAAGTCCTCTTTAAGTGTGTGCTGTTATTATTAAGGGGCATCTACTGTTTCTGCCTTCCCAGTATCCTTTTCCCTTTCTTCTGATCAATGTTTCAGTTTCCCTTTGGAGAACCACCCCTCTGCCATGCCATCCGATCCTGACACAACTCTTAGTCAGTATGAACTGCTCCCGACCCCCACTGGGCAAAGGGTGACCACAAGGCCCAAGGTAGGCCAATCTTGCCTTTTCCCCTGGAATCTGACTCATAAGCAGAATGACTCAAGACAGAAAGCAGTTAAAATTCAGTCTCTCTGGTGTCAGTGCCTTGAAGAGCTCTTCCTGAGTTCTTGCCCCCTAGGCCCCTGGAACTGTATAGTCCTTTACAAAATTTGATTAACAGTTCTTCCTTTGATTCCATTAGCTTTCCAATCCCCTTTAATAAATCCCCTTTTTGCTGAAATTAGCCAAAACTGATTTCTGTTGTTTGTGTAACCATTATGTTGAACAAATAGGCCTCCCCAAATTAAATCATGAAGTAACCTTATTTTTCTCTCTCATGTCTCTTTATAGCTATTCATGAGCCTAGCTTCTCTGGCCCCTGCATACACAGCGTATAAGTTAAGACAGTGGCTCAGAAATCAAACATTCTGGGCTCAAATTCTAACTCCAAGCCCTGCTAGCTATGTTACTTAATGTCTTTCTGCCTCAGCTTCCTTATCTGTAAAATGGAATAAAGAAACCTATCTCATTGGGTTATTTTAAAACTTAAATGACTTCCCAAATGTAAAATGCCTGGAAGTGTGCTTGGCACACAGTAAGTCCCGAAAAATGTTATAGAGCTGATGGCAGTGGTGTCCAGTGAGATGTCCTTTTTCCTCACAACCTATCACATTAGGCCCTGACCATTCTTGTTTCCACACCTATGCTCATGCTAGCCCTCTTTCCTTTCTAAATCTTTCAAGACATAATTGAATCAAGCACCACCATTTCCACAAAGCCCACACTGATCTACAAAGACCACATTAACCTGTTACTTCACTTACAGGAATTATAATCTGTAGTAGACACGTGAGTCTTGATTTCATATCATTCTACCGGTTTTTAATTGTACCTGTATCTAAATCATGACTAGAATAAGAAAAGTGTTCCTTGAAGGCAAGAATGACATTTTATATTATTCTATGTCCTTCATATTACTTACTCCAGAGTAAGGCTCATAGTAAGTCCTTAATAATTAACTTCTGAATGGCCCTCTGAGCAGCTAAAAATATTTCCAACCATAATTACTTCTGGGTTTGCATAGCTTCAAGCCCTTAGGCCTATGTTTTAGTACATATGTTGCCAAAGTGAGCACAGGGTCTTTGCTTTTATTAAAGTGTGCATAAGCATACAAAAAAGACAGGGTACAGAACTTTCTTTTTTCTTCCCACACTGGCCCATACACACTGGGCATCCAGTAAATGTCATTAACTAACTACAAAAAAGCTGAAAACTTCAGGAGCTGGAAATTCATTCCAAATATGATAGGAAATTCCAAATGTATCTGTTACTGTTAAGATTGGAAACTATAAGGCTGAAAGGCCCTGTTTTGTTTAAAACTTTAAAACTTGGAGATAAGGGAAACGGATACTCACACATTTTTTCTCTTCTAATATTTTTTTTTTCTCAAGAACTGTTGATGAAGGACAAAGTAGAAAAGGTAACTATTGTATCTTTTTATTGTCATGTTTCTGAAGAAATATTCTTTTATTTTTGGAACTCTGCATAACCTAAAGTACCCCATCTTCTTTCTCTGGGTTCTCTAACCATGTGAAAAAGTATAAGTAGAAATAAAAACATTTCACACTGATGCCCAAGAGTATATCATTTACATATAAAAAGATGGCACTGTTTCAGAGCTATGTGGGCAGTATTTTAGTCATGTGGAAAAGTCAACTGGGAAAGAGAAATTGAGTAAGCCTAGCCTCAACTCCATGTGAAGCTGTCTGAGGGTGCGTAAACTGACTCACTTAGCTGACCCTGGGAACAAGTTTATATTACATCCAAATGACACCTCTATAAAATTCCATACTTTTTGGCTTTCGTTGTTTAATGAATATGGTTATTTCAAAGTTAAGAAAAAACTCTTTTTTCTAAATGCTATCCACTATAAATTTTTCAACCAGACTGATTCTTCTTCGTTTCCTTTCTACAGGAACAATCTACAAGAGAAAGAAAAGGGAAGAGAAAGAAAAGGATGAGAGAAAAAACTACACATCTTACTTGGATTGTGCGAGACAGCCGGGTGCAACCATATTCTGATTCTCCTCCTCGGCCTGGAGTGCAGTGAGCTCCACCATGTTAACCATCACATCATTGGTGTGGCCCGGAAGCTGGGGAAGCACTGAAAGGATCTTCTCCACCAAGTTGTCTCCATGATGTCCAACCGCCCCTGTTTAAGCAGACAAGAAAATATGAATTCACAAAATGGGAGGAAAAGCAGCTAAATTAATGTTCTATAATACCCCTTCTATCAAAAACAGTATCCATTTTTAGCTTCTGTTACACAAATCAATAACATAAACCTAACATTCTGCCCTTAGTAACACTAATCAATCTCACAATTACCTACAAAATGTATGTCTTGTGTGTTGGACTTAATGGTCCCTGAGAGCAGGCACTGTGTCTGCTCTGGTTACTGCTATAATTCCCAGCACCTAGCATAGTGCCTACACATGGTAGGCATCAATAGGTATTTAGTGGATAAATAAATAATAAACATTTGGAAGGTCAGGTAAATGGCGTGATAGGACAATACTATCCTGAAATTTTAGAGCCCAAAGGATTTTCTTTATTTTACTGATGAAGACCTTAAGACCCAGAAAGGCTTAGAGACCTGACCAAGAATAGCAGATCTCCCCTTTGCTAGAAGTTTATCTTCATCATGGCAACCATTTATCTAGTTCACCCTCTACCCACAATGTCTAGCAGGCAACTTGGCAGCTAGCAGGCTCACTAATTATTTGTTAGATGAAGGAAAGAACAAATGAATGAATAGTAACAGTTTGCAGTGATAAAAGCATTTATACAGTGCTTTCTGTGTACCAGGCACTGCTCTAGGTGCTTTACATATATTAATTCTTTTAATAACAAATGAATTAATAAGCTCAAATTAAAATTCAAGACCAATGACACAGTTTAATGCTTTTTCCATGAGACCAAGTTATCTTTCCAAAAGCCATCAATGCTTGGAAGACATGATTCCAACAATGGGTGGGACTGGCCAAATCAACTTGTTTTGATCCCACCCACTTCAAATCAATTAATATTTTACTTCCTAATGTCTATCTCTATTGTTTTTGCCATGTCATATTAATTGCACAGAAGAACTAGGTAGAAAAGACTAAACCAGAAATCCAAGGAATCACTGTCAGCACCATCGTTGACTTCGTCACAATAGCTAATATTTATTGAGAGCTTATGATGTACCAGGTATTAACTTCCATACTGTACATTTATTATCCACTTAATTCTTAGAACAACTCTAATAGGTAGGTATTATTATGCTCATTGACAGAGTAGAAGATTCAGTTTAAGTAACTTGCTCACAATTATATATGTTGTAAATTACAGAGCAAGAATTCAAACTCAGGAGGCAGAACTCCAAAAACCACGCCATTAAAAAAAACAAAAACAATCAGGCCCATAAAAATGACTTCAGACAGAACCAGCATGAGTGCTTCTAATGTGGCTTCTGATGCTGAAGAAAAGAGTTCTAATTCTACCAGTAAAATATTCACTTATTAGGCCTGGAAGGAACCATGTCTTATTTATGTTGTCTATAGTTTATGATTGTCTCCCCAGCACTCACACTACAAGCTGCTCATTAAATACTTGCTGAATGAATGCCTAGTGACTATAAGTGGCCCTGAGATCCACAGGGCAGTCAGAAGTCTCTAAGTGAATAATATCTTTAAGCCTGGAAAGAATGGAGATACGACGATTACCCCATAGCATCATTTCTCTCTCCACTAGTAACCTCCTCACTTACTTGAAAACTTCCACTCATCACTACAATAACTCTTCTTTGAACCTGGTGCCCAAATTCTGAGCCCTGCCCCCAAGCTATTCTTATTTTTATTTGCCATTCACAGACACATGGTACAGACAAGTAGTCTATATGTTCTGCCTTTCTTTCCGAACTTCTTTAGCCCCTACAATCTAGCTGCTACTCACTCTTCCTCCCTATGCTAAATGCAGGGGTCTTTGGCAAGTCTCAGTTCATTAAACCTTTGGCTAATTAAAACTGTTGACTAATCTAGTCCTCCTGAAACTCTCCAAATATGAGAAGTCAAGACATGGCATACTTATTTTTCCTTAAGGTTTAATAGCTAATAGTTATTTTTACAGAACCAATGTATCATTTACATCCTTAAAATATTATATACTAACACCCTAAATGTTCAGAAGTAGAGGAGTAGTTTTTTAAAATTATGGCATATTTACTGAAGCAGTTCTCAAATTGTGATTTTTATTTTCTTCTATTTATTTATAGATTCTAAACTTTCTATGGTGAACATATATTCCCGTTGTAATGAAATGAAAAAACATGCTATACACACATATAAATATCCCAAAATTTTACCAAGGGTTATCTTTGAACGGTAGGACTTTGGTTGATGTAAACTCTACCTAAAATTAATTTTTCCCCCATGTTTTCTGCAAGGAGCACATGAGACTGACCTAAATTAATTAGAAAAATAATTTACACTCTTTCAGAAACTGTTTAAAATATTATATATGAGAATTAACAAAATGCCAAATTTACATGAGCAGGATTACTCAACTTTTTAGGTTTAGTCAAAAAGAATGTGTATTTAACATGTGATAATGAAGGATAAAGCAGGTAGGTATAGGCTTTCAACTCATGTCCTGCTCTTCTCTGAATACAGTTTGTTGCATGTCCAGCTTTAGAGGGTTCAATATACATTTTAAAAATTTAATTAGTGCCAGTTACATGACTCAAACATAGACTAAGCATTTGGGGCCTCTCAATGTCACAGTAACTTCAGATTCTTCCTCTATGAAATGAATAAAATGCCAAGATTTGTATCACACTTAAATTTTCAGAGAGCTTAATTTTTCCGTTATTATAGAAATTTTAAAGTATTATTTAAGATGCTGAAGAGTGGAAGTCAAGCTGAACCCAGTTATTTTTCCCTGTCCAACTGTTAATCTAGCCAAGAGCAATGGGATCTAGTCTGGCCAGAGAATGGTTTATTTCCCAATGCCTTCTTTTCTAAAGAGGGTATAGGAACAAGAAATTGGATACATGGGCTCTAGTGGTCCCATCCTCCATTAGCTCCTTGTGTGATCTGAGGCAACTTCCAAAAATGTGGTGCTATTTTACCAAGCTAAAAACTCAGAGTTGGTCCAACCAACACCTAAATATCTTTGAAGCTCAGTATTTGAGATCCTAAATTCAGTCAACTGTTTCAAAGGCTAAACTTTTATAGTTAACAGCACCGGAAAAATAGCAATCCTGTATGACCCTGTGGATCATATGTGAATGTATGTGCCAGTATCATCATCATAAGGCATATAACATCTACACTTGCCTCTACTTATAAGGAATAAAGTGAGAAGCAAGAATTGAGGCATCTTCACAAGAGCTCAGTCATACTGTAGTAGGGCTTAAAGATAAAAACACAAGAGCCTTCTGTACATTTCACAAACAGGATATTTTGGGATTATGCACAGTGTCCCTTCGTGTTGAGATAGGGTTACTGGATTCTTGGAATTAGTATATTCAAAAACTCACCTCCTGGGACTTCCCTGGTGGCGCAGTGGTTAAGAATCCGCCTGCCAGTGCAGCGGACGCGGGTTCGAGCCCTGGTCCAGGAAGATCCCACATGCCGTGGAGCAACTAAGCCCGTGCACCACAACTACTGAGCCTGCGCTCTAGAGCCCATGAGCCACAACTACTGAAGCCCCGCACGCCTAGAGCCTGTGCTCTGCAACAAGAGAAGCCACCGCAATGAGAAGCCCGCACACTGCAACGAAGAGTAGCCCCTGCTTGCTACAACTAGAGAAAGCCACGGGCAGCAACAAAGACCCAACACAGCCAAAAATAAAAATTAATTAATTTTTAAAAAACTACACAATACACAAATCTTAAAAAAAAAAAAACACCTCACCTCCTTTCTGATTCCCCATGACTCTTTCTTAAGAATATTTGACCATCTTTCATTATTTTGAGATGTTTCAGTATTTGATGACATTTCTGTCTTCTAAGAACAGAATATTTCATTATTGCTCCTGATGTTTCCTTCTATGTAGAAGGACAACAATTAGCATAACATTTCTGAACTTGCCTCACCTCCTTCAATCAATCCCTTTCCCCCTGGGTTGTCAGGTTCTACTCATTCTGCCTAGGATAGGTTCTGCCCTTGGAAAGAGGGAAAAAGACTTTCTCTGGTCCACTCCTGATGCTGAGTGGGTAAACCTTCCAACCCAAGAATTTGGTGTTAGGAATCTCACTTGCCCATAGATGTAAGCCACATTCTTTAAGGTTCACTGTATCCACCATAAAACTGGTATTTTGGCCTCTGCCTGCCAACTCTTTACTCCATATTCAATTTAGAATCTGGATGGTTAAAGGAGTGTTAGTTATTAATTACTCTTTAATACTACCATTTCTAACACTACCTATGGTTGGCTCATATCAGTCAAATCTAGTACAAAGGGGATGTATTAAGGTAGATAATACATACTGGTCAAAAGGCTGTTTCAGTTTGCCATATACCAGGTAGGACCCTGGGGGGATGGAGGCAGGAGAATAATAAGGCAGTACTTATATAGGTTTATTCAGTAAGTAGTTTTCACCACACAGTAATTTTAGATAAGAGTCACATAGCATTCATTATACTGCCCTAACTTAAATCTTCTCCTACACTCCCTCTTTCTGTGAATGGATTCTGAAATTGCCCAGGCTAGAATACTTGGCATGTCTTCAAATTCTTCTTAACCTTCTACCATTATATCAGTCACCACTCTATTAATTCTCTCACTTAAATATTCAACTACTCCTTTCTTCATCCTTCCTATTACTGACTTGGTATAAATTCACATCATTTCTTACCTAGATATTTTAATAGTCTCCTGATCAATAGTCTCCTAGCCGCCAGTATTTCTTGCTTTTATCTCAAGGAGCCCACTGCTCCTAGGCTGGGCTCCTCTATGGGTGCATGGGAGGGTTGAATTTTATGAGAAATATTTTAAGTTTATGCTTTTATCTAGATAATCCACAACTTTGACCAGTTGCTCAAAAAAAAAGTTCCTTAATTTCAAAACAGTTAAGAATCACTGGAAAAATAAAAAAAAAAAGAATCACTGCACACCACACAGTATTAGTTGAGCCGACAGCTATCAATGTTATTTCTCTCTACACAC